ATGACTTGTGGGTGTAGCAGAGGTATGGTCAATTTGCATGTTTCTCTTTTATTAGATTAGATTATATTTTTAATTGGACTAAATATCCCTATGAAAAGACAAAGATTGGCAGCCTGGATAAGAGACACACCTTAAATATAAAAATATTAAGTTGAGCCCTAGCTGGTTTGGCTCAGTGGATAGAGCGTCAGCCTGTGGACAGAAGGGTCCCAGGTTTGATTCCAATCAAGGGCACATGCCAGAGTTTCGGGCTCAGTCCCCAGGGTGAGGTGTGCAGGAGGCAGCTGGATCAATGATTCTCTCTCATCATTAATGTTTCTATCTCTCCCTCTCTCTCTCTGAGATCAATAAAAAAAATTTTTTAAATTATTTATATACACTGAGTGGCCAGATTATTATGTCCATCTGACATTCTTAGGCCAATTAGGTATAATTTCACGCTGAAGTTGCTAGAGGGCCACACAATTATAAATAGGGAAGCAGGTTGTTTACCACGATAGTAGAAGTGATTTTTTTCTGAAAATATGGGTAAACAATGCAATTTAACAGCCTTTGAACGTGGGATATATTTGAATGTGAGTGGCCAGATTATTATGACCACCCCATCAGTACTTCGTTGGGCCACCTTTTGCCTTCAATACTGAGGCGATTCTTTTTGGCATTGACTCCGCGAGATGTTGAAAGGTGATGCGAGGAATCTGACACCATGCCTGATGAATAGTACTGTCCAGTTCTGTAAGATTTGATGGTTGTGGAACCAGCTGCCTGATGGCTCTTTTAACTTCGTCCCACAAATGCTCAATTGGATTGAGATCTGGTGATTGTGGGGGCCACCTAAGCAAGGTAAAGTCTCCCTCATGTTCTTGAAACCACTCCTGCACAATATGAGCACCGTGGCATGGCGCATTGTCTTGTTGGAAGAAGCCATCTCCATTGGGATACGCCATCAACATGATAGGATGAACTTGATCAGCAATGATACTTAGGTATGTTGTGTTATTCAAACATTGTTCCACACGAATTAAAGGGCCCAAATCATGCCAGGAAAACATGCCCCCAACCATAACACTGCCCCCAGCAACTTGAAGGGTTGTACTCATACATGTGGGGTGCCTGATTTCATGCTGTTTCCACCAAATTCTCACTCTGCCATCTGCATGATGCAACTGGAAACGTGATTCATTGGACCACATGACTTTTTTCCAGTGCTGGACTGTCCAATCCTTGTGTTCCTGTGCAAATTGGAGACGTTTTATCTTGGTAACTGCAGACAGCAAAGGTGTTCGAACAGGCCTTCGGCTTCTATATCCCATATGCTGTAGTGTACGGCTAAATTGCCTACAAACATCAGGTGGTCATAATAATCTGGCCACTCAGTATATATATAACCCATGTTCAAAGGCTGTTAAATCGCGTTGTTTAGCCATATTTTCAGAAAAAAATCACTTTGTCGTGGTAAACAACCTGCTTCCCTATTTATAATGGTCTGGCCTTCTAGCAACTTCAGCGTGAAATTATAGCTAATTTGCCTATAAACGTCAGGTGGTCATAATAATCTGGCCACTCAGTGTGTGTATATATATATATATATATATATATAATGTTGAAAGCATAAGGATTGGAAAATGTACCACATGAATACCTAAAAAGCTGATGTAGTATTTTAATTTTAGTCAAAGTAGACTTGAAGCCAAGAGCATTACCAAGGGCACTTCATTTTATCCTATCATAATGACAAAAGTTTCACCCTACCAAGAATGCATAATTCTACATTATATGCACCTAATAACAGCTTCAAGATATATAAAGCACAGTAGGAGGTGTGCAGGAGGCAGCTGATCAATGTTTCTCATCAATGCTTCTCACTCTCTATCCCTCTCCCTTCCTCTCTGTAAAAAACCAATAAAATATATATTTTTAAAAAGATATATAAAGCAAAAATTGCCAGAATTAAAAGGGTAAATAGGCCAATCCACATTTATACAGGGATAGTTTAATAAACTACTCTTTGTAATTGATAGAACAAGTTAGAACAAGCAGACAGGAAGGGAGAAGGAGAAATAGAAACATCAATGATGAGAATCATCAATCCATCAGCTGCCTCCTGCACATCCCCCACTGGGGATCGAGCCCACAACCTGGTCATGTGTCCTGACCAGAATCGAACTGTGACTTCCTGGTTCATTGGCTGAAGCTCAACCACTGAGAGCCATACTGGCTAGGCTGCAATTGGACATTTTAGATAGTATATCATGGCAACAATGGGTACTGGTCCCCTGCCCCTTCCCCTCCCAAGGCCAGGTTATTGTTATTTGCTTGTTTGGCGACAAGCTGAATTATTTCAGTGAAGTCTATTTCCCCTTCTACTGTGTAAGCCTCAGATGTTTCCCACAGGGTGGTGCAGCTGTAAGTATGCTTAGTTACCCTGGGATGACAATGATTTTTTAAAAAAATATATTTTATTGATTTTTTACAGAGAGGAAGGGAGAGGGATAGAGGGTTAGAAACATCGATGAGATAGAAACATTGATTCAGCTGCCTCATGCACGCCCCCTACTGGGGATGTGCCCGCAACCCAGGTACATACCCTTGACCGGAATCGAACCTGGGACCCTTCAGTCTGCAGGCCGACGCTCCATCCACTGAGCCAAACCTGTTACGGCGACAATGATTTTGATAGTGCTTTCTTCCTCTCTTTCCATGATCCCACCCAGCTACTAAAAACCACTAATTGCTGGCTAATTGCTAAATTATTTTGAATAACACCCTGGGATTAGATTATTAGGACAATAAGTTACAAACTAGTCAATATAATCACATTGTGGTTCCTTTGAAAAAATAATGTCTGCCCAGCAGGCAGGCTCAGTGGTTGATCATCGAGCTATGAACCAAGAGGTTATGGTTTGATTCCCAGTCAGGGCACATTCCCGGGTTGTGGGCTCAATCCCCAGTAGGGGGCGTGCGAGGCAGTCAATCAATGGTTCTCGCTAATCATTGATGTTTCTCTCTTCCTCTCTGAAATCAACAAAAAAATATTTTTTAATAATAATTTCTGAGATCAATATGTGTTCTGATTCCAGGAGGGCTCCTCCCATCTGTTTCATTTCCTGGTTCTGTCCTACACACTAACAGGCCTTCAGCTTATCATGTATCTTGAATCTCCTCCCAATTGCCTCTCACCTTAACCTCCACTGAGCTCGAGAGTGCCCCTTAGGCTTCCATGTCTTCAGACTCCATTGCAAATAAAGTCAGTCTTTGGGAAGAGATTAGGAGCTCTCTGTTCTACAGTCTGCTCCTCTCTCCTGGCAAAGTCTCTGAGCCAGGGTTCTGAATCTGGAGGTGGGGACATTGGCAAGTTTCTGAGTGACACACTACTCTGCAAACCGAACATTTGGTAGAAGGGATGGCAGCAGCCTGAGGTCCTCTCAGCTTGGAACCACCTCCTCATGGACAGACACAAGGGTGGTCAAGGCCTGTCTTCTCAGCTCACTTTGCCCAAATAAGAACCTCTGTTGGACAAGTGGGGGTTGGAGGGCAGAAGGGAGTTAACCTCTCAACCGCACTTACCCAGGCCTTATCTCAGAGCAGAAGCTTCTGTCCCTTCAGGGTGAGCCACCCACTGATTCACCAACCAGGAAACTCTCTGAGCCTCGTAAGTTTTTGTTGAGGTTTCCTTTCATGAGCATGACTGATTGGATTAATGCATTAGTGATCACACTGATTGAGTTCAATCTCCAGCCACTCTCTCCACTCCCCTGGAGGCTGGGGGCAGTGGTTGCCTAAGTTCAAACCTCTTATTCACATGGTTGGTTTTTTGGCAATAAGCCCCCCACCCTGAAGCTATCTACCCCACCATGTGTAGCTGATTTTCACTCTGTGATTGGAAAAAAGACAAGGAGGCCACTATTACATTTTTTAACATTGTACTAGACATCCAATACAGAGCAATAAGGCAAGCTAGAATTGAAATAGGAGAAATACGTCATTATTTGTAGATGACATAATTAGGTAAGTAGACAATCCAAACTATTTAAATTAATAAGGGAATTTTGCAAAGTTGTTGATGGGTCTTATTTTCAATCATAGAAAAAATTTAAATATTTCACCATTTAGAATGTTTTTAAAAAAAATTCTCACCCGGGAATATTTTTCCATTGATTTCTAGAGAGTGGAAGAGAGAGGGAAAGTCAGAGAGACACATTGATTGGTTGACTCCTGCATGTGCCCTGACCAAGGGGAAGCCTGCAACTGCCGTATGTGCCCTTGACCGAAATCGAACCTGGAACCGTTTGGTCCACAGGCTGATGCTCTATACATTGAGCCAAACTAGCTAACACAGTTAATTCATTTCCATTGACACATACACATCAGTGACAGCAAGGATACAAACTGCTTAGCAGCAGCAGTAGTAACAAATTATTTTTAATAATGTATTTTTATTGATTTGAGAGAGGAAGGGATAGAAACATCGATGAGAAACAATCATTGATTGGCTGCCTCCTGAACGATGCCCCCTACTGGGGATTGAGCCCACAACCCAGGCATGTGCCCTTGACCAGAATCAAACCCGGGACCCTTCAGTCCACAGGCCAACGCTCAATCCACTGATCCAAACCAGCTAGGGCAGTAACAAGCAAATTTAACCAGGGGATACCCACACAGTTTGGGGAAAGTCATCTGACAACAAAGCATTTCTAAAAAGAAATCCTTATAAATATGATAATATAAAACTGTATTTTTGGAAATTTAACACTGATTTCTACATGCAATTTATGTAATTCTACACATTTGAATTATCCAAAGTTGGCAGTCACACTAAATTTTGTGATTAGATTATGTTTAAGAGCAAGAAGAAGTTTTAGTATTATGTGCTCCCCAAATGGTTCTTTTTTCATGTGTTCAATTCCTCTTCCCTTTAAAAAATAGATTAACTTGGTAACAGATAAAATAACAGCAACTGATTTATGAATTGAAAATAGTGACCAGCTCAACTCCAAAGCTTATGCTTTTAAACAAGATTCAACATCTTTTATTTACATGTTTATGACATACATCAATGGCCATGTACAATTAACTAAATCTAATAACAATGGTGGGAATGAAACATAAAAGACACAATTTCAAATTTTAGGTTGAAATACATTTTCACTAACCAAAAGATACAATAAACAAACAGCCATCATAAGAGTTATAGATTGTGTGTCAATTCACTTAAAACTGACAGCCACACAACTATTGAAATAATGGGAAATTTGCGAATACAAATATTACATATACAAGTATAATGCATGCATGGCATCACATTAATTCTTTATCTATGAAGCCATTTTTAAAGTGAACTGGATAAGTATCTTAATATATGTACATCAAGGCACATTATTTTCCTGTGCTTTAGGAATGATTTACATATGATTTGCTTATAATCTTAATTTTATACCTTATATTAGCTTTTAATACTTAAATGTTTGATTTTAACAATTATAGCTTGAGTGGTAGCTTCCCAGAGGAGAGAAATGGTTATTTTGAAAATCAGAAAATAAAAAAATAAGATAGCTTAAGGTGGGAATTTAAAAATCAAAAACACAAATTAATTTAAATCTCAGGTAACTTTTTATAATAATATACTTTCAAAAATTTGGTGGACCATAATTACTTTAAGTAGTAGTATACTATAATGAGAACGGAATTGAAGACTTTTCAATATTCTGAAGTTATTGTACAATTAATTATATGATATCCACAGGACCACCATAGATGCCCACATTGTTATCCTATTTCTAAATTGCAATTTTTCAACAAAATTGAACAATTAAACATGATACCAAAAAAAAACAAAAACAAAAGGGGGGGGGCGGGGAAGAAAACAACAAACAAAAGAAAACATGATACAAAAGCTGCAAACAAACCAAACCTAGTTTTAACTTGTTCATTTTTCAGCAAAAGAATTAGTTTTTTTCCACACCCCACCCCCGCCCATGTATTGTTATCCAGGAGAAATTTTTTTATCAACAGAGCTTAATAACAGTATTCTTTGTTTTATGGTCTTTTACTTGCCTTGAAGAGAGAGTATAGTAAGGCTTTAATAGGCATTTCATGCATTTTAATGGCATATTTAAAATTAGCTATTCATTTAAAGGTGCCCCAAATAGATAAGTATACTGTGCAAACTTGATTACAATATGTAACTCATTAAGTGCTTTAAAATAAAATAAAGAATCCCTGACTTATAAGGGCTTAAAATAAATAGTAAATCAAGAATCACAGATTTGAAGCATTTAAAAAATGTAATATACTTATTCATCTGACTAAAATGCTTTATATTAGAATTTTAAATCTATAAAAAGGCAAATGAAATCACAAATCTTCTATATTTTGAGAACAAAAGAGAAGAAAAGCTTACTGGTGCAGCCTTTTAAACTCAAAGTATATAACAATGTCAAAATGCAAATGAAACTGTACAGTTTTTCATTTACTATAATCCTTTACACACATTAATTCATAAAATGTATACCATAATAAACCACTGCCATCAAACAGATATTTTCAATTTCTTTACAGTAAATGGACTTTAGCTGGACAAACCAATCAGAAATGTTAAAACATCATCAAACAGCCCAGAATCTTCACATACAAAATCTAGGTAGAGAGTCACATAGTATTGTAAACAAATGTTCTGTGAGTTCAGTATACATGAGATGTCACTTTTTAAAATTTCCATTACTATATTCCTTCTGCTTCTGAAATATGTGCCACCTCTACTTCAACAGTTTGAATAGCTTCTGCAACTTCAGATAACTTCTGTCCTTGCTGTTGTGCTAACACATAATTAACCACCTGCATAATACTTTGGTCAGAGAGTGTAGATACAGATGGATACTCTTCAGTAGCTGCAACGGCTTCAAGAGCTTCCATAGTTTCTCCTGTCACTACCACGGTCTCAAGTTCTTGAGGATCACTGCTTTCCTGTTCATGAATGTCTGCTGTTACGATGCTAACAGCATGCTCCACTTGAGTTCCTTGGTTATGAAACTGAAGGGTATCCTTTTCCAGCATAATTTTGCAAGGCACATAATCTCTGTGGAATTTGGTCATATGTTTTCGGAGTGTCCGAGCATCTATGTAGGCTTCGCTGCACACAGGGCAAACATAGGGCCGTTCACCAGTATGTGTTCTGACATGGCGTTTTAGAGATCGGGCATCAGCCCAAGCCACTCCACATGTTAAGCACTCAAATGGCTTAACTCCTATTAAAAAAAAAAGAGAAGAGATGGTGTCTGTGTGGTGAGGTGTGCAAGTACCAAAATATATTAAAGTTGCCTAATAAATAATGCTTTTATTAAAATACAGTAGTCCATAAGTCTTTCTATCTTAACTATGGCAATTTTTTTTTTTAATATATTTTATTGATTTTTTACAGAGAGGAAGGGAGAGAGATAGAGAGTCAGAAACATCGATGAGAGAGAAACATCGATCAGCTGCCTCCTGCACATCTCCCACCGGGGATATGCCCGCAACCCAGGCACATGCCCCTGACCGGAACCGAACCCGGGACCCTCCAGTCCGCAGGCCGACGCTCTATCCACTGAGCCAAACCGGTTTCGGCAACTATGGCAATTTTTAAAAAAATATATTTTATTGATATTTTACAGAGAGGAAGGGAGAGGGATAGAGAGTTAGAAACATCAATGAGAGAAACATCGATCAGCTGCCTCCTGCACACTCCCTACTGGGGATGTGCCCGCAACCAAGGTACATGCCCTTGACCGGAATTGAACCTGAGACCCTTGAGTCCGCAGGCTGACGCTCTATCCACTGAGCCAAACCGGTTAGGGTGGCAATTTTTAATTTAGGACCTAATGGTTCACCTTAGAATAAACGAGATTCTGTAAAATAATCTCTCTCAGAAGTGCACATGGATAGAAGTTACTGAGAGGCAATTCTGAGTTTCTATGCAAAGTCTGACTTGACCTTCACAGCAATCCTATAATCCTAGAATAAGAAAACAGAGGCATGGCTCAGTGGTTGAGCATCGACCTATGAACCAGGAGGGCACATGCCCGGGTTGTGGGTGCAGGAGGCAGCCAATCAATGATTTTCTCTCATCATTGAGCTTCTATATTTAAAAAAAGAGCCCTAACCAGTTTGGCTCAGTGGATAGAGCGTCAGCCTGCGGACTCAATGGTCCCAAGTTTGATTCCGGTCAAGGGCATGTACCTTGGTTGCGGGCACATACCCGGTAGGGGGTGTGCAGGAGGCAGCTGATCGATGTTTCTCACTCATTGATGTTTCTAACTCTCTATTCCTCTCCCTTCCTCTCCGTAAAAAATCAGTAAAATATATATTTTTTTTTAAAAGAAAAGAAAACAGGCTCCAAGTAGCCCATGAAAATGTTGATAAAGAATATTAAGCTATGTTAGATACTCAGGTTTAGAATCACCTCTATCACTTGAAAAAAACTATGATATGGAATACATCTCTTACCAAGGAAGGTGAGGTAATAAATGAGAGGATTGATAAAAGGAGTATCAGTATTGGATTGTCTTTTATTCTCTATATATTTATCTATATTATATAGCTATATAGTTACCTTCATGATTGTTCATGTGTCTCCTATACTCTCTCAGTTGAGTGAATTTTCTTCCACATCTTTCACACACCCGTTCTAGGTTTTGCTTTGCTCTTCCTTTTTTCCCATGGGTAGCTTTCTTTACATGCCTTCTGAACAATGCTTTTTCATAAAATTCTTTGCCACATATATTACATCTAAAATAGGGGGGGGGGGATTAAAAGCATCAGCATCCATAAGAATTAATCCAAGTATAGGTGTGTGAAAAAAAATTATATATATTTCTGATCCTCCTCAGATTTACTCACCTGTAAGGTTCAGTGACAGAATGAGATTTCACATGGGAATACCAATCTTTCTTCCAACTATAGCACTTATCACAATATTGGCACTGGAATGGCTTCACACCAAGATGTTTGTTCATGTGCTGACGAAGATCTCTAGCTTCAAAGAAACTTTTTTCACATCTGCAATAATAAAATTCAATCACCCAACTGGATCATATTATTCTTTTAAAACAAGCTTCCAAGAATTTAGTATATTCTTGGGTTTCTAGAACTCCACAAGATGATCCCAATTTAAGACAAAAGAGTTCACTAGTACTCCAACCCTGTAATAAGGCCGCAGGATGTTAAGTTTTTTTGGCCCTACCTAGAAACTTTTAGAAAGAATCATGCAGACCTCCCAAAGGTTACTAGAGAGGACATATGCTTTTTGTCTCCTCCTCAGTCCCATCTGATCTCCTTCTTTACCATCTCCCATTCTCTCTCCATGTGTTGGGAGTAGCCCTCACATTAGCTATAAGGATGGAGCAACTGACTCAGCCTGTCAACTGGAGGAAAAATGCTTTGGGGAATAGGGACTTGAAAAACTCTCACGTATTCCTGGGAATCTAGAAGTCCACACACTTTCTCAGGGCTGTGCACACACTCAGGAAAGACCTGAAAAGGCCCTAAGCTCTCACCTCTGGTTGACTCAGCAAGCCAAGACACAGTTGTGAACTGCCTGACTGAGTGCTGAAGGCATTCTGTCATTAGAAAGTGGAATGCTGCCCGGCTGGTGTGGCTCAGTGGTTGAGCATCAACCCATAAACCAGGATATCACAGTTCAATTCCTGGTCAGGGCACACGCCCGGGTTATGGGCTTGATCCCTAGTAAGGAGTGTGCAGGAGCCAATGATCAATAATGTTTCTCTCTCATCAATGCTTCTATCTCTCTATCTTTCTCACTTCCTCTCTCTCTAAAAATCAATAAAAACATATTTTTAAAAAAGAAAGTGGCAATGCTTGCACAACACTGTGAATATACTAGAAGCCACTGAATTATACACTTTAAAGTGATGAATTTTGTGTTACATGAATTTTACCTCAATTAAAAAAAACAATTTCAGGTGGTTTTGGGAAAATCAAGAGAGGCAGAAAGAAAAGGAGTCTAAAAGGAAGGATGACTAGCAGAGGGCCCAGCACTTTGAGAAACTCTGGCTGCCCCAGGGATCATTCTTCCCTACAGACCACATGGTGCCAGGTACTGTATTTGAAGACTCTCTTTAAGTCCTGTATATTTATTTTGTGGTGGAAGGTCAGGTTCTAATGTCCTGGTCCTTGGACTGGTGTCAAGCACCAGGCCATTCCCCCAGGCCTGCTGCTCACTCGAGCCGCCAGCTTCAACGGGCACCAGTCCATGTCCAGCTCCAGCTGACCCATGTGGATGCCCACAGCACAGGCCCAGAGCAGGCCAGGGGCCAGATCGATGCCCACGCCTGTGGTTACACCCCCACCCACAGGCAGCCCAGCAGGAAGAAGCCAGAGGCAGCTTTGCAACCCATGCCACTCTGCATGAAGGATCACCCCGATGCTGGATGCCAGGAGGCCATTTAGAAACCAGGAGAGGAAGGCTGTCTCATGTGCCTTCTGGAGTACCCAGGTGCCTATGGTCCAGCTTGGACACGGGATGGCAGGAGGGGCGTAGTCCCTACGCCGGGGGCCCTGACTTGGGGGGAGGCCCCCTGGACCTCTGGCTCCAGGGCTGCGGCAGCAGTGACCCCCATAAGCCAGGTGGGCAGCCTAAGTCATCTTAAATGGGGATTTGCATGGTATGTGATTTATATCTAAATAAAACTTTTAAAAATAATAAGTAGAAATATCTAGGCAAAAAAGGGATTAAAATCAAGAAGAAACAGTTTAATATTATTTTGAAATATTTTCTTTTTTCTCCAGCTTTATTGAGGTATAATTGACAAAAAAATTTAAAGCTATTTAAATGATGATGATTTGATATATGTATACTACATTGTGAAAGGATTCCCTCCATCTAGTTAATTAGCACATCTAGCCCCTTGGATACACACGTGTGTGTGTGTGTGTGTGTGTGTGTGTGTGTGTGTGTGTGTGTAAGTTCTACTCTCTTAGCAAATTTCAACTATACAATGCAGGTGGTTATCAACTACAGCCACCTCAAATATTTTTTTCTGAAAACAACTCTCAAACAAATCTAGCATGAACATAATTGAATGGTTCACCCATTAAACACTTACTGAGTGCAGTGATAGCCTCGAACCTCAGGCTTTGGCTGGTGCTTCTTTTGGTGCTTGCTGAGTCCAGAGCCCCTGTGAAAAGACTTTCCACAAACTGAGCAATGGTACTTGGACTCTCCTATAAAAATAAAACCATGTCACAAATCCAACAATCATGTGCTCTTCCAATAGAATATCTTATTTCATATTTCAGAGGTTATTCTATCAAAGGGACACGGAAGATAAAACATTTGGCAGCCACCTTCTAAGAATAACAACAAACCACATCAAAATCCCTATTTCCTGCCCTGACCGGTTTGGCTCAGTGGATAGAGCGTCGGTCTGCGGACTCAAGGGTCCCAGGTTTGATTACAGTCAAGGGCATATACCTTGGTTGCAGGCACATCCCCAGTGGGGAGTGTGCAGGAGGCAGCTGATTGATGTTTCTCTCTCATTGATGTTTCTCTCTATCCCTCTCCCTTCCTCTCTGTAAAAAATCAATAAAATAAATTTTTCAAAAAATCCCTATTTCCTCTCAACTACAGTGCTAGCAAGGCTACTGCTCGCCCAAGAATGTGCTACACTTCATAGTCATCTGGAATGTAATAGTAAGAGTTGAATACAAGTTCTAGAGGAGATATCTACCCTTCATCAGCCATTTCCACATAATTGCTTTGAGCATTTGAAAATAAGCATTTGTAAAATAAAAATTCTAATGAAATTATAAGACACAAAGCATGTTGACAGTTACATTTGCCTACTGCGTAACTTTTTAAAAGCATGTCCATTTCTTTAGGTGCCTCTATCTAAATTACACATGATTTTCCCGGCTGGTGTAGCTAAGTGGTTGAGCATCAACCTATGAACCAGGAGGTCATGGTTCGATTCCTGGTCAGGGCACATGCCCAGGTTTCTGGCTCAATCCCCAAAGTGGGGTGTGCAGAGAGATCAATGAGTCTCTCTCATCATTGATGTCTCTCTCTCTCTCTCTCTTTCTCCCTTCCTCTCTGAAATCAATAAAAATATATTTAAAAAGTAAATAAATTGCACATGATTTAATATTCAGTATGCATTTTTCTATACTGAGGGAAACAATGAATATTTTTACACAAATAAGATAGCTCTAAAACTAGATTTAATAAGATCTTTTAGCTTTACTCTCATTAATGAAACACTGCACACATATAGCCATCAGTATATCAATATGATTTCTGAAATAATCACAGCATAATCAATATAATAGTAAATTAGTAATATATAATATACACAGGGTGGGTTTAAAGTAGGTTTACAGTTGTTCCTATGGAAAATAATATAGTAATTAATAAATAATACAAGAATAAACTCTTCCCCATACTCACAATTATAAACCTACTTTTGCCCCACTCAGAAATTATGTCTATATAAATTCCTCATTACCTGTGTGAATACTCATATGTTCTTGAAGACTCCGTTTGGTAACAAATGACTTAACACATAGTTCACACTGGAACTGCTTTTGTGATTGATGGAGACTCTGGTGTAATTTTAGACCATGCTTGTAGATGAAAGTCTTTCCACAGACCTAAGACAGCACAGGTATTTAAAACAGTAAAACAGAAAAGCAGATAGAAGTTGGTTCTGAAGAATGAAGACGGAGAAACCTGTATGCCACTTTAAATCAAAAATTTAAATTTTAAACAAAATAACAAAGTGAAAGTTGAAACAAATGCCAAAGATATTAGCTGGTTGATCTTCTGATTCCAAAATGTTGCTATTTTTCTTATACCCATGTGATCACTGGCAGAGCTCAAAGCAGTACAAAAAAAACCTTATGCTGTCTTTGAGAGATTAAACAGTATATAAGCTATATTAAAAGAGATATGGAAGCTCAATAAAAAATATATATACTAATTTCCTGCTACACCAACTAGAACAGTGCTTCTCAAACTCTGTGATGAAGAACCAGTCTCTCCTCCCCTCTCCCAGGCCACCGCAATCCACTGGGGAAGAGATTTTGTTAAATACAATAAAAATGTCACAGCAACGTCAAATTGCCATAACAGTTTTTAAAAGCTTATTCTCATTTCTGTAGTTATCTCCCATAGACCACACATTCTGAGTAGTGCTATACTAGAGGACCAGAGGCCAATTTAATACTTAGTTTGACGTCGGACCCTATGTTGATAACTATTGAATCTGGATGAAGGGTACATAGGACCTCTTTTATTCTCTTGTATTGTATTGTATTCTCACATAACAAAAAGCTAAAACAAAACAAAAAGCGAGCGAGCGAGCGAGCGAGAGAGAGAGAGAGAGAGAATAGCCTAAAGTTGGCTAATCACAGAATTATTTACTTAGGAGTCATATTTTGACATTTGTACCCTCAGACCTTCTCAACACTAGCGGATACATAGTGCATGCAGGATTTTGCGAAGATTTGTCTAAACCAGGGGTGGGCAAACTTTTTGACTCGAGGGCCACAATGGGTTCTTAAACTAGACCGGAGGGCCGGAACAAAAGCATGGGTGGAGTGTTTGTGTGAGCTAATATAAATTCAAAGTAAACATCATTACATAAAAGGGTACGGTCTTTTTTTTTTCAATAGTTTTATTCATTTCAAACAGGCCGGATCCGGCCAGCGGGCCGTAGTTTGCCCACGGCTGGTCTAAACCCTGGGTTCCTTTTGAGTCCAGATTAGTCCTGCTGAAGGCTAAGCGATGACTGGGATGATGATTCTCACCCATACATCCCCTGAATCTTAATGAATTCCATGAACATCCTAAATAGATTCATTTCAAATTACAATAAATTAAACAACAAATTAAAGAACACAATTAGGAATCACCCTTTATCCAGACAACAAACTAAAAAAGTCATAGAATTCCTTGTGACATTTTTTAAGAGTAAGGGTGACTCCAGAATCAACCAGTCTTATCACCACTTAAATTCCAATCTTCTTTACATAACAAAATAAATGTTATGGCTTTACCTGGCATGCATGTGGCTTTACACCAGTGTGCTTTAACATATGTATTCGAAGAGAGTATAATTTAGGTAATGTCCTTCCACATATGGAACATATAAATTCTCGTTTGGTTCTGCCCTTCTCAGACGATGTTCCTGATGCCTCATTAGATGTGAAATTGGAAGACGATGAAGAGGGTGCAACTTTTCTGGTATGTCGAATAAGGTGTGCTCTCAAGGAGGCACTGTACTGAAACTGTTTTTTACACAGCTAAAAGAAAAAGTAAACAAAATTCTGTCTAAATGTAATTTCATTACAAATGTTAAGTGAAACTTGACTCATATGTCAACTTCCCATTTCTATGTTACAATTATATGAATCAATAAACACATAGACTATGTAAAAGACAGTAAGTTAGGTACCAGATTATAAAGATGCAAAGGGTAAGGCTCAGCCTCTACTCTGGAGAGGTTTATAATCTAGCCACAGAAACAGAATTTATATGTAAATAAAGGTAAAATATTTAAGAAGGAGTAATCTGAACAATAAAGAAAGGCCTCACTGAGGCGGACAGGTCTGTTTTGAAGAAATTGTAGGACAGAGACAAAGACGGAAGAATGCTATCATTACAGGAGTATTAATAGTTGTTAGGTAGAGCAAAATTAGGGGTTTGAAAAAGTAGAAAAATAAAACTGTGATGGTTGTTGGATATTATCCAGTAGTTACTGGGGATTCATGAAATCAAACTTACATATTCTCATCATTTACAAAACTTATTTTTTTAAGTATTGTTTTTTTAAAAAATGTATTTTGATTGATTTCAGAGAGAAAGAGAGAGGGAGAGAAATATCAATGATGAGAGAGAATCATAGTCTTTTTTTGCATTTTACTTATGTGTCTTGGTGTGGGCCACTTTGGGTTCATCTTGTTTGGGACTCTCTGTACTTCCTGGACTTGTATGTCTATTTCCTTCACCAGGTTAGGGAAGTTTTCTATCATTATTTTTTTCAAATAGATAATTCAATTTCTTGTTCTCTTTCTCCTTCCGGCACCCCCATGATGCAAACGTCGATGTGCCTGACGTTGTCCCAGAGGTTCCTTACACTATCTTCATATTTCTGAAATCTTTTTCTCTTTTTGCTGTTCCAATTGGGTGTTTTTTGCTTCCGTGTGTTCCAAATCACTTATTTGATTCTCATTGTCATCTAACCTACTATTTATTTCTTGTAAATTATTCTTCATTCCAGTTATGTATCCTTCATTTCTGTTTCCTTTTTATGGTTTCTATGTCCTTTTTCATGCTGTTGAAGTTCTCACTAAGTTCTTACAAGTTCTAAGTACCTTGAGCATCATTATAACCATTTTCAAAAAACTCTACGTCTGGTAGTTTTCTTGCCTCCATTTCATTTACCTCTTTTTTTGGAGATTTTTCCTATTTTCATTTGGAACCTGTTTCTTTGTCTCCTTATTTTGGATGCTTCCCTATGTTTGTTTCTATTTATTAGGTAGAGCTGCTGTATCTCCTGTACTTAGAATGGCCTTATATAGTAAGCATCCTCTAGTCACCCGAGTTGGGTGCTCTAAGTATGTCCCTCTGTGGGCTGTGTGCGCTGTCCCATTATAATTGAGCTTTGATTGCTGTTGGCATCACTGGGAGGGAATGACCCCCAGGACAAATGGCTGTGAGGACTAGCTGCTGTGCACAAGTCAACCTTACAGAGCAGGACCTCCTTCAGTGGGGCTTTGGTGCTCACTGATTCCCCCCTTTGAGTGTGTCTCTCACAGAGGTGGTAGGGTTATAATCAGGTATGGTCTGAAGCTGTCCAACTAGTGCACTGGCTGTGGTGCTAAGTCAACCATCATCTATGCCCTGCTTGGGGCATAGTTACAGAGAGATCTGCAGGTGGCTGCTACTTGTGTTGGCCTTGGAGATGTCCAAGAGAGACCAAACTGTGAACCAAAGCAGGCTGCAGCTAGTGATGGGCCTGTGGCACTTAGCAAGAGGCATGGACTATATAGGGGCTGCTTGAGAGTTTTTAGGAAAGTCTGAAGCAGGAGGCAAGAGGGGTCAGTTGTATGGAAAAGCCACTGGAAATGGCTTGGATGGGCCTGAAAGTTGGGTGAAGGGAGCCTCAAGGAATCACCAGGGCAGGGCAAACAGTGTGAGCCAGGTTGATGGAATCTCAGATATGATGCCTATCTGTCAGCTGTATGGGTGTGGGGGCTCTACTAATACTTTTGTCTGACAGAAAGCTCTCATCCTGGTGCCAAAAAAGAAAAGTAAGTTCCTCCCTGTATATCCCTGGTTCCTTTCAAGCTGCTGCCCCAGCACTGGAGCTCAGAGAAAGTGAGTCTGAGTCTGAGTTCAGATCCTTTAAGAGGAACTGCTTGGGATTCTGGCAGCCCTCCATTCCACTCAGCCACACTCCCCCCTGGTTTTTATAGCCAGTCCTCTTTCTGGCACTAGAATCCTGGGTTGGGTATCTGGTTGAGGCTGGGACCTCTTACTCCTCAGGGGGGACCTCTGCAGCCAAGATATCCCTCCCAATTTTACTTATTTTATTTATTTATTTATTTATTTATTTATTTATTTATTTATTTATTTATTTTAATATATTTCTTTAATTGATTTCAGAGAGGGAGAGAGATAGAAACATGATGAGAGAGAATCATTGATTGGCTGCCTCCTGCACGCCCCCTATTGCGGGGGATAGAACCCACAACTCAGGCATGTGCCCTTGGCTGGAATCGAACCTGGGACCCTTTAGTCCGCAGGCTGACACTCTATCCACTGAGCCAAGCCAGCTAGGGCATTTATTTATGTTTTTTAAAAAATACATATTTTATTGATTTTTTACAGAGAGGAAGGGAGAAAGATAGAGAGTTAGAAACATCGATGAGAGAGAAACATCGATAAGCCGCCTCCTGCACACCCCCTACTGGGGATGTACCCGCAACCAAGGTACATGCTTTTGACCGGAATCGAACCTGGGGCCCTTCAGTCCGCAGGCCGACGCTCTATCCCCTGAGCCAAACCGGTTAGGGCTATTGATTTTTTAGAGAGAGGAAGGGAGAAGAGAGAAACATTGATGGAAGAGCAACATCGATCTGCCACCTCCTACACACCCCCTACCAGAGGTCAAGCCCACAACCCAGGCATGTATCCTGCTCAAGACTCAAACCAGCCGAAACCGGTTTGGCTCAGTGGATAGAGCGTCGGCCTGCGGACTGAAAGGTCCCGGGTTCAATTCCGGTCAAGGGCATGTACGTTGGTTGCGGGCACATCCCCAGTAGGAGATGTGCAGGAGGCAGCTGATCGATGTTTCTCTCTCATTGATGTTTCTAACTCTCTATCTCTCTCCCTTCCTCTCTGTAAAAAAATCAATAAAATATATTAAAAAAAAAAAAAAAAAAAAAAAAAGACTCAAACCAGAAACCTCTTGGTGCAGGGATGATGCCCAACCGAGCCACACCAGCCAGGCCATCCTTCCTGATTTGAAACTCCCACATGTGGGTGTGAGACCAGCCTGTTCTGCATCTCTGTCCCTCCTCTCAATCTTGAGGTGGCGGCTTCTTTAAATCCCTAGTTGTAGGACTTCTATTCAGCTAGATTTCAGGGGGTTCTGAATGATGGTTGTTCTGTATTTTTGATGCGGCTGTGGAAGGACTCAAGTAACACACCTACCATCTTCACTGGAAGTCTGGGGTTTTTTTAAATTTGTTTAAGTTTTCTTCTCTCTGCGTAGTCTTGGATTCCTCAAAGTTGTTTTCCTCTTGAAATGTTTATCATGAATCTGATTATCCCTGGTGTCCATTCACATTCCAGAATAAGATATTAAAAAGATTGATTGGAATTTCTGTGTAAGTGGGGGAGTGGGTTGCCACCCACAGGCTTTAGTTAGAAGTATCTTTAGGTCTTTTGTTTATGGGTTTTGGATTTCTCATCTCTGAAGTCTTTTTGCGTTCAAGTTAAATACCTGACTGTTAACATGCTGAGAACTGATTAGAGAAAGACAACTTTAAAAATCTTAATATTTAGTATGCAAGCTTTTACTTTTCCTTGTTTTGGGTATAGTATGTTTACCCTCTCTATACACAGTGTTCCCCAGAGCAATTATAATTTTCTTTTCTTGAATGTAAAGGATGAATCTTTGTCTGAGGGAGTGGTGTTGGGGACTTAATTGCCTCTCAAAAAGACTTTCTAACAACCAGAATCACTTCTACTTTTAAGGTAGCTAGTAATACTAATTCCTAAGCTGTTTGGTAGTTCTGCAATACAATAGGTAAGTGTGTTACTTGAGTCCTTCAACACCCGCATCAAAAATACAATTTTGAGTGTTTCTTAGCTTTCCCCACTGAAAGCCTGGCAATGAGCCCTTTTAAATAATCTGTTGAATCAAAGTCTAGAACAGTGATGGCAAACCTATGACACGCGTGTCAGAGGTGACACGCGAACTCATTTTTTTGGTTGATTTTTCTTTGTTAAATATCAAAAATATAAATCTTTGTTTTACTATGGTTGCAAATATAAAAAAATTTCTCTATGTGACATGGCACCAGAGTTAAGTTAGGGTTTTTCAAAATGCTGACACGCCGAGCTCAAAAGGTTCGCCATCACTGGTCTAGAATTTAGTTGCTAAGGTCTCCTCTCCTATTCTCTTTGAGTTTATTTATTTTTTCCTTCCATGGACGTTGCGTGTGCCCTGCTGGAAAACTTTTCTTTTCTTTAAATATATTTTTATTGACTTCAGAGAAGAAGGGAAAGGGAGAGATAGAAACATCAATGATGAGAGAGAATCATTAATTGGCTGCATCCAGCATGCCCAACACTGGGGATCGAGCCCACATCTGGGCATGTGCCCATGCCTGGAATCAAACCTGGAATGTTTATGTCCACAGATCAATGCTCTATCCACTGAGCAAAACCAGCTAGGGCAAGAACTTACATTTTTAAAATGATAATTTTACTGTCTCATGGGTATGAGGAGGAAGTAGAGTACATCACTAAATATATTTTTTGTTAAAGAAATACAAGTACAAATCAGAAAATGATTCTTATAGTAATACTAGAGGCCTGGTGCACAAAGATTTGTGCACTCGGGGGGGAGGGGGGATCCCTCAGCCCGGCCTGTGCCCTCTCACAGTCTGGGACCCCTCGGGAGATAACAACCTGCTGGCTTAGGCCTGCTCCCGGGTGGCAGAGGGCAGGCCCAATCCCTAGGTGCAGCCCCTGGTCGGGCTCAGAGCAGGGCCAATTGGGGAGTTGGGGCGCCTTCCCCTATCATGCACAGAGCAGGGCAGATGGGGAGGTTGCGATGCCACCCTCAGTCACGCTCAGGGTAGGGCCAACTGGGGGGGTTGGGGCACCGCCCCCTGTCACACTCAAGGCAGGGTCGATGGGGAGGTTGCGGCGCCACCCCGTCACACACAGAGCAGGGCCCATCAGGGGAGTTGGGGCTCTGTACCCTGTCATGCACAGAGCAGGGCCAATCAGGGGGTTGGGGCGCTTCCCCGTCACGCACAGAGCAGGGCTAATCAGGGGGTTGGGGAGCTCCCCACTGTCACGCACAGAGCAGGGCCGATCAGGGGGTTGAGGAGCTCCCGCCTGTCACTCACAGAGTAGGGCCGATACGGGAGTTGGGGCACCTCCCCGTCACACTCAGGGCAGGGCGGATCAGGGGGTTGGGGCGCCGCCCTCTATCACCCACAGAGCAGGGCCGATCAGGGGGTTGGGGCGCCGCCACTGTCACACTCAGGGTAGGGCCGATGGGGAGGTTATGGCTCTACCCCGTCACACACAGAGCAGGGCTCGTGGGGTGGGGGCCGGGGGGGGGGGGTGTTGGGGCGCCGCACCCTGTCACACACAGAGCCGCAGGGCGATCAGGGGGTTGGGGAGCTCCCCTCTATCAGGCACAGAGCAGGGCTGATCAGGGGGTTGGGGCACCTTCCCCTGTCACAAACAGAGCAGGGCGGATAGGGAGGTTGTGGCCCTGCCCCCTGTCACACACAGAGCCGCAGGGCGATCAGGGGGTTTGGGTGCTGCCCCCTGTCACGCTGATCCCGGTGCTGGGAGGCCTCTCGGCTCCGCTGATCCCGGTGCTGGGAGGCCTCGCGGCTCCGCTGATCCCGGTGCTGGGAGGCATATTACCCTTTTACTATATAGGATAGGGGCCTGGTGCATGGGTGGGGCTTGCTGGTTTGCCCTGAAGGGTGTCCTGGATCAGGGTGGGGGTCCCCACTGGGGTGCCGGCCAGCCTGGGTGAGGGGATGATGGCTGTTTGCAGCTGGTCACACACCCTTCAGGGTGGGGGTCCCCACTGGGGTGCCTGGCCAGTCTGGGTGAGGGGCTAAGGGTGCTGTTTTCAGGCCGACTGAAGCTCCCAACTGCTCCTTTTTTTTTTTTTTTTTTTAATTCTGGGCCCGCTTTAGCTCTGGCTCCAGCTCTGAGGCCTCTGCTGCTGAAAGAAGGTATCTGGTTTGTTTGTGTTCTATAATCGAAACAATGTATAACTCTAGCTCTAAGATCCCGGGCTCACTGAAAGCAGGTTTCTGGGGTTTTGTTTAGCTTCTATATTTGTTACAATGTTTCTTAAACTGCAAGCTCAGAGGCCGGCAAGGCAGGCGGGGAACGTTGGAGTCCTCCGTCACTGAAGCAAGCAAGCCTCATGTTAGTTTCAAGCTACCTGGCTGCCGGCCGCCATCTTGGCTGGCAGTTAATTTGCATATCTCGCTGATTAGCCAATGGGAAGGGTAGCGGTCGTACACCAATTACCATGTTTCTCTTTTATTAGATAGGAGGACAAGGGGGACAAACACATAGAACACAAATGGCAGAATAACAATGAAGCAATAAGTTAGATTCCACTTATCATGACGTTAGACCATCTTCAATTAGTTTCCCAGATACTTACCGGGCATTTGTAATCTCTAGATCTTTCATGTTTCAGTGTGTGCATTATAAGCGTGTATCTTCTCTGAAAAACCATTCCACATTCCCCACATTTATGAGATGCTTCTTCTTCAGTATTCTCTTTAGCATCCCTCTTTGGCTGTTTCATCTTTTTTCCTCTTTGAACTAATTTCTGGGCTACCTAAGTAAGGGATAGAAAACACAATCTAAGTAAATATTAATCATTTTTACTTTTAAGTCATGAATCATAAATATTGCAAATTCACATATCTTATTATACTGTTATTTAAAAGTTTAAGTTGCTTTCCTGTACTTATCCTCCTTCATCCCATAATTTTCACCATAGGCATAAGTTTACCCATAGAATGCTTTCAAATTAAAGCTAAAACTACAAATGCCAACTCTTCATCATACCTGCTGAACTGCTGACTTGGCAGTGGCTTTCCGTTTTTGCAGCTTTTTCTCCATTCCTTTGTGTAGTCGAATATATCCCCCTTCATTAATAGAACGCTGTCGAAGCCTGCTTCTATAAGTATCATCATCAGGGCTGAGGTCTGTCTTTGCAACTAGATTTTCCTGATCTTTTAAAGATTGGCCAAGGTTCTGTCTATGCTCTGGAATGTCTTCATCACAGATATCCTCATTTGATGTATCATTTCCCATATCACTGTTTTCTGGAGAGCCACTGACTACATTCTCTTTGGAGAGTTTAGGATAAATATTAGAAACTGTGCTACCTTCTCTACTGTTTGAAGTTTCTAGTTCTGTCTGGTTGTTTTTTGTTACTAAATCAACAGACTCCATTTCAGGGTGAGAATCAGTTGCACAGCCTGCAGGTGAAGGTGACAGAGCAGCTTCAGCCTCTGCGGAGACCTGGGGCTCGGGCCGCTGTCTGAGCTCTCCATGCTGCTCAGTTCCTGGCACTTCTCCATTCACCAACAGTACAATTTCACAATCCCCAAGGTCAGTAGGTAAAGTTGTGGTGGTTCCCTCATTGTTAACCACAGGAGGTGCTGGACCTCCGTTTTGTTCTGGTAAGTCCTGGGTAGATGCAACTGTTTGTACTTCACCCTTTTTATATACCGTTAGCTGCTTCTCTTCCATTAGTTTATGTACACTTTCACAGATTTCTAAAACTTCTGACATGAAGAGATGCCGAGCCAAGATGGCTACATCAGCCATGCTACAGAAATCAAAACTTAGCACAGAAGTATAGGCAAATTCCAGTAAAGGGAGGAAGCTTGCTTTACAGAAACCTATATGAAACAAGACAGATGGGGGACAAAAAAGTCAAATCACCACTAACACACCTTGTAAGAACAATTAATACATGATTATAACAATATAAAATAGAATATAAAGGCAAACATGACCATTTATTCTGCAATTAAACACCCTGGATTTGTTTTTGTGTTCTGGTTGTTTATTAAGCCTTGACTAACTCACTTCTATAAGCCGAGTCTCTCAATACCTAAAATAGAAAATAATATCAGACTTACTACCTCAAAGAGTTGTTGTAAGGCAGTCATTTTCAAACTGTACTCCTTAGAACCCCGGGGGTTCCTCAAATTCCCCTCAAGAAACAGCTGCTGGAGAATGGAGGGTAAAAAAAGAGAGGGATGCAGGTGAGTAGGCAGGGTTCAACCAACTTGTCTCCTAACTCACTTCATATGTATAGCTTGTATATTTTAATAGAAGTCCATATAAAAATTTTATTGTGAACAATGAGTTCTACTAAATATTTAAAAACAAGGTATATGGCAGGAGGCTAGCAAAATGTTTCTGTAAAGAGTCAGATAATTAATAGTACAGGCCATAAAATGTCTGTTGCAACTACTCAACTCTGTCATTATAGCTAGAAAGAGTAGTCATAGATAACACATATACAAATGGGTGTGGCTGTGTTCTAATACAACTTTATTTACAAAAAAACGAGGGAAAAGAGAATTGGGCTATGGTTTGCCTATTCCTAGTCTAAGGAATGAAATAATTACTGTACACATGAGGTATTACATTCCTATTTTATCTGAAAAAATAAGATCAGTTTATTTCTTTTCTAAGTTCTCAGTACTTTGCTTTCAAAAGCCATTTTAATATAGTCATGATTCAAAAATCAGAAAATTATAGTGATGTCTAACTCCATCTCCATAACCAGAATTTTTAAGAATTTGTATAGTTTTCCAGAGTTTCTTTATAAAGCCAAGCAAATATTCTTACTCCCCTTTTTTTATAGGAGGTATCTTATTACACTCTACTGTGCCTTACTTTTCATATATAATTTATCTTAGAGATCTTTTTAAAATATTTTTTTATTGACTTCAGAGAGGAAGGAAGAAGGAAAGAGACAGAAACATCAATGATGAGAGAGATTCATTGATTTTCCCCCACCAGGGACCGAGCCCCAAACCTGGTCATGTATTCTGATCGGGAATCAAACTGTGACCTCCTGGTTCATAGGTTGACGCTTAACCACTGAGCAATACCAGCTGGGCTGTCTTAGAGATCTTTTATTAAAATAAAGAGAGCCAGCCCTAGCCGGTTTGGCTCAGTGGATAGAGCACAGGCCTGCAGACTGAAGAGCCCAGGTTTTATTACAGTCAAGGGCACATACCCAGGTTGCAGGCTCCATCCCCAGATGGGGGCGTGCAGGAGGCAGTGGATCGATGATTCTCTCTCATCATTGATGTTTCTCTCCCCCCCGCTTCCCTCCCTCTCCCTTCTTCTCTAAAATCAATAAAAATATATTTTAAAAAACACGAGAGAGCCAAAGCAACCTTTAAAAACACACATTTGCTGCGTTATTCAGTTTTGACTCAAGCTACATAAAATGCTGTCCTTTTACATAGGCAGACGGGATGCATAAGTATACATGGAAGCCATAAGCTGAGATACATTAGGATCAGGTTGGAAACTGAGGGAACTATACATCAACATTATCATCATGGCTATTTCTGCCATTCCAATGAAAGCTGTAATTAAATAGGCTATAACCATATTAATCCTGCTACAAATTATGAGACCAAGTTAAATAGCTTGAAGAAAGAAGGAATATTTCTTTTTTAAAAAATATACTTTTTATTGATTTTAGAGAGGGAGGGGGAGGGGAAGAGATAGAAACATCAATGATGAGAGAGATTCATTGATCAGCCGCGCCCCACACTGGGGATCAAGCCTGCAACCTCAGCATGTGCCCTGACCAGGAATTGAACTGTGACCTCTTGGTTCATAGGTCAGCGTTCAAACACGGAGCCACACCAGCTGGATAGAAAGAATATTTCTTTAAAAAACACACACATACCAACAAAATAATGTATGCTGGTCTGTTATCTAGTATCTTTTTAATTTCTAAGTTTGAAGCCATAAGAAAATTTTTCCACAAAAGAATTAACACTGCTCCAAATAACACTTGGACTATCTAAAACCATTTTTTCAAAGCTACAAGTTATGTTTACTGTAAAATACTATAAAACAGCCCAGCTGGCATGGCTCTGTGGTTGAGCATCAACCTATGACCCAGGGGGTCATGGTTTGATTCCTAGTCAGGGCATATCCCTGAGTTGTGGGCTCGATCCCCAGTATGGGGCACAGAGGATCAATGAATCTCTCTCATCATTGATGTTTCTATCTCTCTCTCCATCTCTCTCTCTGAAATCAATAATAAAATATCTTTTTTTAAAAAAAGAATCACTTTTTAAAAATACTATAAAACACACACAAAATAAGAAAACAAAATTAAAAAATCACTCATAATCTTACTGTTAAAAAAAAGATAAGACAGTTAATTTTGGTATTCTGTTTTTACCCCTAGCCTTTTTACATACATATATATACACACTCTGTAAATGAAAAGGAAACGGGTAATTTTGCAAGATGAAACATAGATGTGAGAGAGATATATCGGTTGGTTGCCTCCTATTCACACCCCAATCTGGGTTGAGCCTGCAAGTGAGATACTTGCCCTTGAGAGGGAATCGAACCTGGAAGCCTGTTTTGCAGGCTGATGCTCTAACCACTGAACAACCCAGTCAGGGCTTCTTTTTATTTATTGATTTTAGAGGGAGAGGAGAGGAGAAGAAGAGGGGAAGGGGGATAAAAATAGATTTGTTGTTCCACTTATTTATGCATTCAATGTTTGATTCCTAACCGGAATCAAACCTGCAACCTTAGCTATGGGGATGATGCTCTAACCAACTGAGCGACCAAGTTAGTAAATTTTATATTATATGTTTTTATGAAAATTAAAATTTTTTTTAAATGGACAACATGATAGAGCATCGGCCTGTGGACGCAAGGGTCGCAGGTTCGATTCCAGTCAAGGGTATGTACCTTGGTTGCAGGCACATCCCCAGTGGGGAGTGTGCAGGAGGCAGCTGATCGATGTTTCTCTCTCATCGATGTTTCTCTCTATCCTTCTCCCTTCCTCTCTGTAAAAAAATCAATAAAATATATTAAAAAAAAAAAAAAAAAGGACAACACGCCCAGCTGGTGTGGCTCAGTGGTTGAGCATTGACCTATGAGCCAGGAGGCTATGATTCGATTCTGATCAGGGCCCATTGCCCGGTTGCAGGCTCGATCCCCAGTGTGGGGCGTGCAGGAAGCAACTAATCGATGTGTTTCTCTCACATCAATGTTTCTGTTTTTCCCTCTCTCTTCCACTCTCCCTAAAAACCAATGGAAAAATATCCTCAGGTAAGGATTAACAAAAAATAAATTAAATTAAATTTAAAAAATAGCTGAAACCAGTTTGGCTCAGTGGATAGAGCGTCGGCCTGCGGACTCAAGGGTCCCAGGTTTGATTCCGGTCGAGGGCATGTACCTGGGTTGTGGGCACATCCCCAGTAGGAGATGTGCAGGAGGCAGCTGATCGATGTTTCTCTCTCATCGATGTTTCTGACTCTCTATCTCTCTCCCTTCCTCTCTGTAAAAAATCAATAAAATATATTAAAAAAAAAAAAAAAAAGTAGCTCCCTAAAACGGATAATCTGAAATAAAACTAAAAAGAACCTCTAAAATGGAAAACACAAATTGGGATAAAAAAAACTCAATAAATTTCATAGCAAATCAGACACAGCTAAAGAGTGAGTGAACTGGAATTTTTCAGGATAATCTACAAAGAAATGAACAAATTATGAAAGAGAGATTAAGAAACACAGAATAGCCCTGACCAGTTTGGCTCAGTGGATAGAGCGTCAGCCTGTGGACTCAAGGGTCCCAGGTTCAATTCCGGTCAAGGGCATGTACCTTGGTTGCAGGCACATATCCAGTGGGGAGTGTGCAGGAGGCAGCTGATCGATGTTTCTCTCTCATCGATGTTTCTAACTCTCTATCCCTCTCCCTTCCTCTCTGTGAAAAATCAATAAAATATATTTAAAACAAAAAAAAAAGAAACACAGAATATAAAGTGAGAATGTATCAAAAAGTATAAAGTACCTTGGAATATAGCAAAAGATAAGGCCTTTGTTGGATAAATCTCTAAAACTTTATTATAGTCTCTATCAAAATACATTATTTTCTTATTGTGGAAGTTGAGGAGCTGCTTTGACAGTTCAGTGGTTCTCAACCTTCCTAATGCCGCAACCCTTTAATACAGTTCCTCATGTTGTGGTGACCCCCAATTTCATTGTTACAAATTGAACATAATTAAAGCATAGTGATTCATCACAAAAACAGTATGTAATTATATATGTGTTTTCCAATGGTCTTAGGCGACCCCTGTGAAAGGGTAATTCGACCACCAAAGGGGTCGCGACCCACAGGTTGAGTGGCTGGTTTATATGGAATAGCAATTGGTTCTAAATAACTAAAACCCACCTGAATAATAAAGGTGGCAAACTTTCCTTATTATAAAGCTCAGGTAATTAAGACCAAATTCTAAGAGTGTAGAAAAGCCCTGGAGGGTGGCTCAGTTGGTTGGAGTGTTGTCCCATACACGAAAAGGTTTTAGGATCAATCCCCTATCCGGGTGCCCACCTTTCTCTGTCTCTCTCTCCCCCCTCTCCCCCTGCCCACCTCCCTCTCTAAAAATCCACAGAAACATGCCCTCAGGTGAGGATAAAAAAAATTTAAAAAGAGAGTAGGAAGAAACAGCCAATAGATTAGAGCAAAACTTAGAGCCAGTACCAAATACATGTGGAAATTTGTTTTGTTTTTATTTTCCTTACCTGAGGATATTTCCCACTGATTTTAGAGAGAGTGGAAGAGAGAGGGAAACACAGAAATATCGATGTGAGAGAAACATACTGATTGGTTACCTCCTGCATGAGGCCTGACCAGGGTCTGGGCTGGGGAGGAGCCTGCAACCATGGTACATGCCCGTGACAGAAATAAAATCCAGGACCCTTTGGTCCACAGGCTGACGCTCTATCCACTGAGCAAAACTGGCTAGGGCAGAAAATTGTTTTCTAAGAGAATCTGCATGGTCTTTGGGCAGGAAGAGGATAGAATTTTCACTAAATGGTTCTGAGAAAAGTGGTGATCAAAATAGGGAGGGAAATAATATCAAACACCTATCTCTTACTAATATTCCAAATAGATTAAAAATTAAACATAAAAGAAAAACTAGAAAAATGTAAAAAGACAATGTATGAAAATATCTATGAGTAGGAAAGAATTTTCTAAAGTATAAACAAAATAAAGAAAAATATAGATGAATTCAACTACATTAAGTTAGATAATTAAAAAAGACATTTTTAAAAGTATTTTTATTTTTTAAAATATATTTTTGATTTCAGAGAGGAAGGGAAAAGGAGAGATAGAAACATCAATGATGAAAGAGAATCATAGATTGGCTGCCTCTTGCACGCCCCCAACTGGGGATTGAGCCTGCATCCAGAGCATGTAACCCGACCTGGAATCGAACTGTGACCTCCTGGTTCATAGGCTGATGCTCAAACATTGAGTCATGCCAGCCAGGCAATGCACACATCTACACTAATAAAAGAGAAGCATGCAAATTGGTGTCACTCCGCTACACCCACCAGCCAATCAGAGCAACTATGCAAATTAACCCAACAAATATGGCGGTTAATTTGCATACACAGGCACGAAGTGAAGACTGAAGGCTCTGGCTGGAGTGAAGACTGAAGACTGAAGCCAAGCCTTGCTGCGGCCAGACCAAAGGACTAGGTCCTGGGTGCCAGAGGAAAACCAGTACCAGCAGCCAGGGGAAGGAAGGCCTATTGCGCGAATCTTCATGAAATGGGCTTCTAGTCCTATATAATAAAAGGCTAATATGCAAATTGATCAAATGGCAGAATGACAGGTTGCTATGATGCGCCCTGACCACTAGGGGACAGACACACAACACAGGAGCTGCCCCCTGGTGGTCAGTGCGCTCCCACAGGGGAAGCGCCGCTCAGCTAGAAGCCCGGCTCAGGGCTGGGAAGCACAGCAGCAGCGGCGGGAGCCTCTCCTGCCTCTGTGGCAGCCCTAAGGATGTCCGACTGCTGGCTTAGGCCCGTTACTCCCAGGGAGCAGGCCTAAGCCAGCAGTCGGACACCCCCCAAGGGCTCCGGGACTGCAAGAGGGTGCAGGCCAGGCTGAGGGACACTGCCCCCCCCCCCACTGAGTGCACGAATTTCATGCACCGGGCCTCTAGTATTTTATAAACAATCTTTATCTATTTAGTATTTAAAGCAAATGAAAAATTTTAATGTCTCCTTCACCTACTATTGGCTTACATATTTGCTTAGCACCCCTAGCTGGTTTGGCTCAGTGGATAGAGTGTTGGCCTGAGGACTGAAGGGTCCTGGGTTCGATTCTGATCAAGGACACATGCCCGGGTTGCGGGCTCAATCCCCAGTAGGGATTGTGCAGGAGGCAACCAATCAATGATTCTCTCTCATCATTCGTGTTTCTATCTCTCCCTCTCCCTTCTCTGAAATGAATAAAAAAAAATTTTAAAAATAAAACATATTTGCTTAACATATATAAAAATAAGCATATGGAATGAAGAATAAATGAGGTATTTTTTTAATAAAGAGGTTGTATTGCAGTTATTTGGGGGCGGACATTTAATATACTACAAGCTAATGAGAAATTGGGAAAGAAAAACGCTCATATGCTTTTTTCTGCTTCAGATGCAAGATAGAAAAAAAACTCCAGAACTAAAATATAAAAAGACTATATCTGTGATGAATTTTATTATTAAGATGGCCCACTATAAGGAGTATTTTCTCCTGTGTCTCCAAACCCAGAGAAAAGCAAACTCCACTAATCTAGGATGTAATACAACTCTATGCTCCATAAAAGTTTTTGCTCACCATATTGCCAGAGCTTACATTAGTTCCTCAAACACAGTAGATGATTAACAAATTTTTAAAAAATATGTTTTTATTGATTTCAGAGAGAGGAAGAGAGAAGGAGAGATAGAAATATCAATGATGAGAGAGAATCATTCATTGATCAGCTGCCTTCTGCATGCCCCCACTGGGGATCGGGCCTGCAACCTATGCACGTGTCCTGACCAGGAATAGAACCGTGACCTCCTGGTTCATGGATTGACGCTCAACCACTGAGCCACATGAGTCAAGCTTTTAGTAATTAAGCACATATAAGAAAAAAAATATATGTATTTGTCTCCCCAGAAGAAATGAGTTTAAAAAGTACAAGGTAGAAAAGGATCAGTGATTAACTAGGTTAAGTGTTAATATACTTGGACAAAATTACTTTTTGTTTCAGAAAGAGGAAATGACACTTTACACAGTGATGTCAGTAATTCAAGAGTTGCAGCAAGTTAATATTATGAGAAAAATGAATAAATAAGGTTAGTTATTTTATTTTTTAAAATATATTTTTATTGATTTCAGAGAGGAAGGGAGAGGGAGAGAGACAGAAACATCAATGAGGGAATCATTGAACGGCTGCCTCCTGCACGCCCTCACTGGGGATCGAACCTGCAACCTGGGCAAGAGCTGTGACCTCAATGCTCAACCACTAAGCCACACCATCCCAGCAGGTTAGCTATTTTAATTCGTACTAAATTTTCATTTATTGATTGCTAAGCCCTTCTATAAGTTCTAATAAGGCCAAAAACAAAAGTCAAATTATTCATTTACAATAACAATGAAACAAACAAAAAACCCTCTACCTGGAATTCTTATTATCCTTCACTGACAGGTTGATTATTGAACCTAATGAGTTCTAATGATTAATCTTAAAAATCAAAAACCAGACCTACAAAAGTGCTCTATAATTAACATGTTCCACAACTGAATATGTAGGCAGTCATTTTTTAAATAACATAATTACTTAGTGTAACAACACTGATGCAGTCATGGACTTTTCTCAAGCTGTTTTTAACAGTGTAAAATCCCAGATAATTTTCTACTGCTACAACTGTCTCACCTAAGAGGCAGTGGATAGGAAATGACAGCCTTTTCCATAAATCTACCTTGGAAGCCTTGCTAACAGGTTTTCAGTTCAGCTTAGTCTGCTGCTGTAAGTGGGCTTCTTCCACTTTAGCATTAACCCTGAGTTTGTAAGAAACACACACACACACACACACACACACACACACACACACACACACACGTGTGCGCGCGCCTCTTCTAGTATGTACTTATAAACAAAAAGCAAGAGTATTAGAAAATTCTTACCAGAAAGATCCACCACTGCCTCATGACTGGAAATAGCTCCTTTCTCAATAAAAAGATCTCGAAAATATTCACTATTAGCTGACAAAACAGATTTATGAGCTTTGTACTCTTCTCCTTCAATTAACAAAGTAACATCACAGAACTGGTTGGAGAGTCTCTGTTCATTCAGTTGCTTTAACACAGCCTGACAATGTTTTGGAGAAGAACGTTTCACCACTCCTTTGGTGTCAACCTATCAAAATAAGTGTGAGACCAAGAGTTGTATCATATATCATCTGTATGTCTACCCTTAACAGAATTTAAAACAAGACACATCCTTCCCTTTTAAAAGATACCACTAATTAAGAAATAGCCTGATATTCTTTCTTTATTATATATGTATTTAAATGAAAAGATATGTTGTTCTCACTCTCTTCTGCTATGTTCATTCTACTTGACCCACTGAAAGCCTGCATCTCACTTCTTACTAGCCTGAAATCTGATGATATATGAAACTAATGCAGGCAAAAAACAAAAACCTAGCCAGCTTAATTTCACCTTGCTGCATGGCCCAGAGTCTGCTTCCAGAGTGTATTCTGTCTGTCTATACACCATTAAAAAAGAGAGGAGTAATTAACAAGTTACATTCTGAAGAGAACAACAGGAATATTTATGCTGAATGAAGAGGCAATATTAGCATACTTCTAGTGTATACAACAACATAGTGCATTACCCAGTGGTTCTCAACCTTCTGGCCCTTTAAATACAGTTCCTCACGTGTGACCCAACCATAAAATTATTTTCGTTGCTACTTCATAACTGTAATGTTGCTACTGTTATGAATCATAATGTAAATACCTGATATGCAGGATGGTCTTAGGTGACCCCTGTGAAAGGGTCGTTCGACCACCAAAGGGGTCACGACCCACAGGTTGAGAACCCCTGCAGACCCAGACCTGCTTAAATCTTCAATGTCAATGCCAATACTCAAGCAGTTTTAGTAGTTTAAGAAAAAATTCACAAAGCCTACAAACACTAATACACTAGTTACACATGTTAAAGCTAAATGAAAAGTTCCACTTACAAATACAAGTTCATGTTTAGATATTGGCTTCTTTTTTGCAGGCTTGGAGGCTGTAGTTGGAGTTGAAGTAAAGTTGCTCAGGTCATCCTCTGATTCATTACTTTCTTCTCCAGATTCAAGGTCTAGTCCTAATTCTTCCAACATTTCTGAAGTATCTGATATTGGACGGGAGCGATCTAGTTTCTCCTGGCATTTGCTACACTGTTTAATGTAATCTTTGACTTGCTTTAATATACCTACAATAAAAATAAAAATTAACAAGTCAACTGTAATATTGTTCTTATTTAAAAATTGAAAAATATATTATATTGGTGATTATTTAGTCTGTGTATGCTTATGTATCTTCCAGTGCATGCATATGTGTAGACACAAACATGCCCCATTAAGTACACAGAGTTCTTTAGAATTTAAGATACATTTTTTCAAAGATATAAAGTTACAAACAATGGTTTCTTTCCATGCTGAAGTAGACTGTTTGTTGTTTATTTCTAGTTATTCACTTCCCCATCACTATGTAGCACTGCCCATTTTCACGTGAGCTGCTACTTATTCATGCATTAGGAGCTACATGAAACTGCTAATATTCAACTGTTTTTGACCTTCATAAACAGTAATATAATGTGGCTCAAGCTAATACTTCTTCACCTTACTAACATCAGGTTTGACCATGCAATTTGCTTTGGTCAATGGATATGATATGTGCCATGTCTCATTAGAAGCTTAAGAGGCACTGTTGCCCAGCCGGTGTGGCTCAGTGTTTCACGTCCACCTATAAACCAGGTCACAATTCGATTCCCAGTCAGGGCACATGCTCAGGTTGTGGACTCAATCCCCAGTTGGGGGCCTGCAGGAGGCAGCCGATCAATGATTCTCTCTCATCATTGATGTTTCTATCTCTCTCTCCCTCTCCCTTCCTCTCTGAAATACAAAAAAAAAAAAAAAAAGAGAGAGAGAGAGAGAGAGACACTGTTTCACCTCAGTTCTCGGAATTTCATCCCCTCTTAAAGAACATGTTCCAGATGGATGCTGTACTTTAGCTTGAACTGCAGATGAAAAAAGACAGGCAGGGCCCTGACAGGTTTGGCTCAGTGGATAGAGCGTCGGCCTGTGGACTGAAGGGTCCCAGGTTCGATTCCAGTCAAGGGCATGTACCTTGGTTGTGGGCACATCCCCAGTAGGGGGTGTGCAGGAGGCAGCTGATCGGTGTTTCTCTCTAACCCTCTCCTTCTCCCTTCCTCTCTGTAAAAAAATCAATAAAATATATTTTAAAAAAAAACAAAAAAAGACAGGTAGGGCCAATCTGCAACCTGAACAAGACTACAACCAAACCTTGTAATCATATTATAAAAGAAATCTCATGTTTTTGAAAGCTATGACATTTTAGGTTTTCTTTTTTATTGTTGACACTATTACAGATGTACTTCCCTTTCCCACCCACTAAAGATTTTAAGTTTATCTGAAATAACAGCATACACAACTAACAAAAGTTGAATGTACAAAAGGCACTCTCAAAACCCTATTTTTAATTTCAACTTCCAACCCAGAATGTTGGGGTAGGGGTAGGGGGTGGGGAGCAGGGAGTAACACTTTTTATATATAGCAGGTCTTTGCCTTGAATGACATGTTTTGTTCAATGTTAGTTTGTTACAACATTGACAAGATGAATAGTTAAATAGGAACTTAACTTATTTATATCAATTAGCCAATGGTAAAATTGGTTGTTATACATCGTTTTGCTTAAAGTCATAACCTATCGAGGACATTAAATGAGGATTTACTGTATACACACACACACACACACACACACACACACACACACACACACACACACACACGTGCGCGCATCATCCTTATAAATTAGGACCAATTAATTCTCATTCTACAGACTGGGAGAATGAAGCCCTAAGAGGCAAGTAACTTGTCCAAAGTCACATCTAGTAAATTGCATGCTGGACCTCCAGAAACCATGTAACCTTTCAGTATATTATACTACTTACCCAAGAACACATTTGTCCATCCCTGTGGCAGAAATTCCTTTCCTCACAATTCCCAAATAAAATGCAAATGAAAAGGCTCATTAATTAGCTAAAATGATAGAGGTATATAATAAATTCCTGAAAAGAGTTTCAATATATCAAAATATACCAAGTTCTTTGCTTTCAACTTTCAGACAGTAGTCAAGCAGTATTCCTCAAATTATATTATGTCCCATCCTTACTAGAAAGTACATAGTGGACTCATAAATTCAAAAATTGTATTCTCATTTTAGATACACACAATGGATATTATTATATTAAAAAGCTCTGAGTTCTACAGTAAAAAAAAACCTGTTTAACCTAGGAATTTGCTGAATTTGTTCACAGAATACAATTTTTTAGCAGACATAACTTGTGAAATAATGGATTAGGAGTAAATATAACTTTCATAAAAAAGGTATTTATGCTCTGGCCACCTTGGCTCAGTGGATAGAGCGTTGTTGGCCTGCGGACTGAAGACTCCCAGGTTTAATTCCAGTCAAGGGCATGTGCCCCGATTACTGGCTTGACCCCCAGTAGAGGTGTGCAGGAGGCAGCTGATTCCTGTCATCATTGATGTTTCTCTCCCACTCTCCCTTCCTCTCTGAAGTCAATAAAAATATATTTAAATAAATAAATAAATAAATAAATAAATAAATAAAATTAAAAAGGTAGTTACATGTGCATAGATTTAGAGAGCAACAGAGGTTATATTCTAGCATCTGAAAATATTAAAGTCAATAGTAAGTCTATACTTGTATGAGACATGAGTAGGTTAAAACAAAACAAAACAATAAAAAGCCTGGACAGATATATATTTTACATACAATTAAGAGGAAATGAATCCTAGCTGATTTGACTGATTGGATAAAGTGTCAGCCTGAGAACTGAAGGGTCCTGGGTGAGATTCTCGATCCCTAGTAGGGGTGTGCAGGAGGCAGCTGATCAATGATTTGCTCTCATCATTGATGTTTCTATCTCTCTCTCCCTCTCCCTTCCTCTCTGAAATCAATAAAAATATTTTTTTAAAAAAGAAATGAAAAAGGTGTTCATTATCTCTGTAAAAAAAAGATATTCATTCTCTATGTAAAACAAATGAGAGTAAATGGGTTGGGATGATGAAAAATTTCTGAAGATGAATAGTTGTGATTACATAACAATTTGAATTAATGTCACTGAACTGCACACTTAAAAATGGCTAAAATGGTACATTTTGTTTATTCATATTTTACTAAATAAGAAAAAGTAAATGGGTATGTGAATGGGAGAAGATGTAAGAGAAGATATACAAAGTGTCCCAAAAAAATGTATACACACTTTAACAGGTGATAGCTCAATTTTGAAAATGAAATATATTTTAATAAACACTACCTTTATAATTATTCAAAGCGTATATGTACATTTTTTGGGACATCCTATACATTTCTAAGTAAAAAACATACGTAGAGAATAAGAAGTGCTGCTATACCCAGCTGGCATGGCTCAGTGGTTGAGCGTCCATCCATGAACCAGGACATCATGGTTCGGGTTTGATTCTGGGTCAGGGCACTTACCCAGGTTTCCGGCTTGATTCCCATTATGGGGCAAGCAGGAGGCAGCCGATCAGTGATTTTCTCTCATTGATGTTCCTATCTCCCTCTCCCTTCATCTGTGAAATCAATAACAACATATTAAAAAAAGTGCTGCTATGGAAATTTCCATGTCCAAAATAAACAAAGAAGAGGCAGTTTTTCTAATTAATTTTGATTGTATTTCTAAACATTTTATGATTCTACACAATTTAGTACATTCTGCATACAGCACAGGTTTGACTATTCACTAGTTGAGTTCAAATGGCATTTGAGAAACTACACAAAAGCATTTGAACAAGGATGAAAAATAATAAATGCTGCAGGGGGAAAATGGTATTAATGTAAATCAACTCTCTCCAAATCCACCCTATTATGTTTTACAAGTCCTTTAACTTGAGTGTTAGTGTTTTGATGGGATCATTTTATTTTATTTATTTTTTTTAAATTCCTGTATTTTATTTTATTTTCACCTGAAGATATTTTCCCATTCATTTTCAGAGAGAGTGGAAGAGAGAGGGAAAGACAGACAGAAATATCAATGTGAGAGAAACACATTATGCCTCCTGCACAAGCCCTAACCAGGGCCCAAGCCGGGGAGGAGCCTGAAACCGCGACCGTTCAGCCCAACAAGGCTCTGTCCACTGAGCAAACCCGGCTGGGGCTTGATGGGATCATTTTAAACCTAACTTTCCAGATCCAGGGTTGATAAGCTGAAAGGATCTGACTCAAGTTAACCATTCAAGAACCATCACTGTGTAAACATAGTTAATTTACTATTTAAGAGTGGGAATTACTGCAAAGGGCTGAAATTACTTATGCAGAAAAATCTGAATCCTCTTACTAGCTTTGTGACGGCCAAGTCCCCAAACCTCTGGGTGCCTGTGTTTAAATGTTACTATTTATAAGCACTTTGGACAGTGTCCGACAACACAGTAACTACTACACAAGCGTTTGTTAAATAACGCTCACTCGTCAACCTCTCTGGTACCCAGAAAAATAGTCCACATAAAACACCAAATTACCATCAAAGGGTTCTTTACTTAGTAAAGACTCAGAACAAAGTAAAATGAATGACCTTAGCGGGTAGTCCTCTAATAAGACAACTGGAGGAACAGTTTCTTACTCCAGAGCAGGGTTTCTCAACCTCTGCGGTGTTGACATTTGGGGCCAGATGGTTCTTGGGGGGGGGGGGGGGGTGTCCTGTCCTGTGCACTGCAGAAGGCCTAGCAGCCCCGACCTCTACTCAACCAGGTGCCAGTACACCCCGGTTACACCACCACGACTGTCTCCAGACACAGGCCTGGGAGGCAGAACGTCCCGGTGGGGAACCACTGCTCTGCGGACCCACCGACAAAGCCGAGCCATCGGCTCCCGCCAGCTGCTCAACAGCGCCCCTCCCGTCAGTGTGGGGATCGAGGACCATCCCCTCCAGTTCACAGACTCCACAGGCTCACGCCTCCTCCCTACACTGGTTCCACCGAGCCAAAAAAATTTAGAATTATACTTCTGACTGTAACAATCACAGCAACCGCATTTTTTCAAGGTATACACAGTGCTTTCCACTGGTATTAAAGGGAAGAACATAAAAAACATTCACACTAGGAGAGCCCGCTGTTCTTGACATTGAATTCTTGCCCTAAAAACGAAGCTCCAGATGACTGTCTGCAGTTGCTCCAAACAAATCACTTCTGCACGTAGCCGCATTCCTCCTCATCTACACCGCAGAGCCACGACTTGAGGACTACGAGTAAGCGGGTCCCGAGGACGTCAGGCCCGCTGCTCAAACCCGAGGGGGACACACCGGAAAAGGAGCCGGGCTTCGGGCGGACCCTCTCCCGCACACCGTCCGCACCACCCGGCCTCTTAAAGGCACAGCGCGCAGCCTCGCTAACCGCCGCCCGGCGCCAGAACCTGCCCCGAGGGAAGGCGGCGGGCCCCGCCCCGCCCCGCTCGCGAGCCCCACCCCCGCCCGCCCCGAGGAAGCCCCTCGCCCCACCCCGGGCCAGGGCCCGCCCCCAGCTTCCCAGGCCTCCTTCCTGTGGGAAGTGCGGCGCCTTTCCCGTCCCTCACCCTCACGGCTCCGCCTGGCAGCCGCGCTGCCGCCGAGCATCAGCTGAGCCGGCGGGGGGCGTTCGAAAAGTGGGGTGAGGGACCCTCCGACGCGCAGTTCTGCACACAGGCCCAGGCCCGCCTCAGTCATCCGGCCCTGACTGGACTCCAGCCGCCAGCCCGCCCTCCCGCCGCGGGCGCGAGCCTACCTCGCCACCAGTACGTCTTGGACAAGTCGTGCCAGGTCTGGTGCTGGGTGTGGTGAGTGCCGCCCGGGCCCAGGTGCGCCGCCTCGATGAGCCCCCAGCGCCGCTCGGGCTGCAGCACCACCTCCAACTCCGCGAAGGTCTTGCGGTGCCGCTGCCGCCGCTGGTAGTACAGGGTCCCGTCGCGCACCACGTAGCAGGCGGCCGCCTTGCGGATTTTGCGCTTGACATTGCCCTCGGTGCCCGGCGCGTACGGCTCGCACTCGTTCGTCAGGTAGCGCAGGATGGCCCGGTAGCTTTCCTCGCTTGACATCGCTGACCCGGGCTCCCCGAGGGCGCCTGTCAGCGGCGAGGGAGGACGACAGCGGCTCTGGCTCCGGGCGGATGTTACTGCTGCGCAGACGCTGCCGGGAGGAACGGCCGTGCCTGTGGTGAGTGCTCGTCGACCGCGCCCGCAGCGCGGAGGGAGAACTAACGAGTTGGTAACTAGGGGGAACTGCACTTCTCCAGCGCGCGGGATCCGCTGGCGACTGAGAAAATGGCTGCTGCACCACCGGAAGTGACGTGAACCCAGGGCAGTGGGCGAGGGAACGCGCCCTGATTGGAGCCCAGCGGCTTGCTGGCTGGGTGAAGCCCGTCGAGTGACGTCAGGACCGCGGGAGGACATTTTGGAAGCGGGTAGGCCCTCCCCGGGAGAGGGAGCTGGCTTAGGCCCGACATCTTAAGTCCTGGCAGTTTCCCTTTTAATTTCCCCCTTCTTTCCCATGCTCTGAGCATGTGTGGGATCCGATGGGCAATTGTTATTCCATCCGAGATGCCCTAAGGCAGCCATTCTCTACCTGTGGGTCGCCAACCTGTGGGTCGCGACCCCTTTGTGGGTCGAACGACCCTTTCACAGAGGTCGCCTGCCTAAGGTGTAAAGGGGTCTGTTCCCCTCCTCCCGCCCCCACCGACCGAGACACCTGAGGACGTAAAAGCATCAGATTTTAAGTCTTCGGTTGAGATGGTAGCCTATGAATATAAAACCGAAGAGACCCCATTCGCACGGAAATGTGGCTTCCAGTTAAGTGTTATAAAACTCAAAGTCGATTTACTGATAAGAGTTATAATTTATGACTAAACCTCAACCACTAGCTTCAAACTACCCATGGAATAGTCAGGATTTTTCAGGAATGGCCTGATTATATAGAGACTGTTTTCTACATACGAAGGTAATATTGTTGGCAAGGAGTGTGGAGGACGGCTAACGCTCTTTTCTTAACCTCATTTGCATATTTTTACATATGCTTAGAGGGGGAATTCTCCATTCCACCCCCACCCGCCACCCCCCAAGCAAACTTAAATTGTGTTTCCCATTCTGCAGCGCAGGTCCAGTTTCACATTTTTAGCTGGTAGTCCAGAGCCCTGGGCCTGCTGACCTGGCCCTAGGTTGGATCTGCAGTGCAGACAAGAGCCACAGGCCAGCACATTGCTAGGCTACTGGGCCGGTCCTGGCAGTGCTTGTCTGGGTCCTGAAACTCCAGATCAACACCTTCCTCTCCCAGCCAGGAGCCTGACAGGTGGGGGCCAGTAGGCTCACAAAACAGGATGCGCCCAGTCTCCAAGTATTTGGGGTGGGGGTTGAGAGGTTTCCAGATGACCCAGAAACCCGAGGCCGCATTCTTGAAAGATTGTGGCTCTAGGTACGTGAGTTCCCGGGCCCAGAGGAAAGACAGAGCTAAGAAGGCTGGGAATTACCCAGGGTCATTCATTCAGTCCACAGACTACAGCTGGAGAAGGAAGGAGGAATTAGAAGGTGGAGATACACCCTTCCCCCATGGGTAGATGTCCATATCCATCCTCCAAAAGCTGTGTATGTGCTCAGCTCAGCATCACCACTCTTCTACTGAAGTCCATGCCCTTTAAAGATCAATTTGGCCCTCGCCAGGTGACTCGGAGCATCATCCTGTTCACCAAAACGTTGTGGGCTCGATTCCCAGTCGGCACAAACCCAGATTGCAGGTTGAATCCCTCGGTTGGGGCAAGTTTGGGAGGCAACCAATCAATGTCTCTCATATTGATGTTTTCCTCTCTCTGCTCCTCCTTCTACAAAAAAAAATCAATAAAAAGATCAATTTAATATAAAAAGTAAGTCTATTAACATAAAATTGCAAGTAAACAAATTGTGGAATGGCAAAGAAAAACTAAGTTAAAGAAATCCCCTTGCCCAGCCAGTGTGGCTCAGTAGTTGAGTGTTCACCTGGGAACCATAAGGTTCGATTCCTGGTCAGGACTCCTGCCTGGGTTGTGGGCTCAATCCCCAATGTGGGATGTGTAGGAGGCAGCCAGTCAATGGTTCTCTTTCATCATTGATGTTTCTATCTCTCCCTCGCCATTCTTCTCTGAAATCAATAAAAATATATTTTTTTAAAAAGGAAGAAATCCTCCTACACCCAATTCAGATTCTGCTAAAACACAATCTGTGAAAGCACCGAGGGCTCACTAATACTTGGATTCTCCTGCGTTTGGGTCAATACAGAGACATGTTTTAGTAAAATGTTTTACAGGTGGTCCAGTTGTCTTCCTGACAAAAGCTAAACTTGCTCTTCTATGAGAACAGGGATGTAGTGGTGCCAGCAGCAAGTGGGACTGGCATTGACCACAGTGATGGGGAGGAGGCAGATAGCTGCCTAAGAGGGGTGATGGGGTGCTGTCTAGATACAGCATTTCCATCTTCTCAGATGGGCAGCCCACTCCCTTTGCCCTGGACCTTTGGTGTGATGACCCTTCCTCTTCTTGGAGTCTCCCCTCCTCTGTCCTTGCCCTAGGACAGTGATGGCGAACCTATGACATGCGTGTCAGGTGACACGTGAACTCACTTTTTTGGTTGATTTTTCTTTGTTAAATGGCATTTAAATATATAAAATAAATATCAAAAATATAAATCTTTGTTTTACTATGGTTGCAAATATCAAAAAATTTCTACATGTGACATGGCACCAGAGTTAAGTTAGGGTTTTTCAAAATGCTGACACGCCGAGCTCAAAAGGTTCGCCATCACTGTCCTAGGACAAGTCTGTCTACCCTGCAGTCAGATCTCTTTTTCCCTGAGGTTGAGTCCTCGGAACTGGCCATCACATGGTGGCAGCAAAGGGAGCAGCTGAAACTTTAGGATCCAGGGAGCCTGTGGTATCACCATGGAAACCCCTGACTAGTCCTGGCCAGTGTGGCTCATTTGGTTGGAGCATCATCCCACCGGTTGGGGGGCCCTTTTCATCTGGGGAGTTCTACGATTTGGTGGGGCCTTTGATAAGAACCAGGCCTCCCTGGACATACCACTAAATGAGGCAGGGGTCTGGGAGCAAGATCCAGAGGAGGCCCAGGCCCTGAATACAGGGGTCCCTGGCTGAGCTCCTCCAGGCTAAGGACAAGCACTACGCCCTGGAGTGGGAGATGGAGACAACAGCAGGCCCCGCAGTGGTGTAGACAGCAGGCCGAGATCCATGCTCTGGAGAACTTTTTTTTTTCTTTTTAAGTATATTATTGATTTCAGAGAGGAAGGGAAAAGGTGAGAGAGATAGAAACATCAATGATGAGAGAGAATCACTGATTGGCTGCCTCCTGCACGCTCCACACTGGGGATGTGCCCTGACTGGGAATTAAACCGTGACCTCCTGGTTTATAGGCTGATGCTTAACCACTGAGCCACGCTGGCTGGGCAATGCACCGGAGAACTTGAATGGGCAGGTACAGGGGCTCCTGGAAGCTTTTTCCTTGCGGGCAACAAGCCTAAAGAGCAGGGGTGATGCACACCTACCCCAGGATGGCACAGAAGGGGAGTTGGGGTGGAATGTGGATCACCTCCTGGGATGGAGGTGGCATGAACCAGCAAGATCCCATGTTCACTTACATCTCTGCTGCTCATGCTTAATCTCGTGATTTTTATTCCCCAAGAAATTAAACCCTCATTTTGACCTCTTAAAGATACGTTATTATGGGTTTAACTACCTCTTTTGGTCGTATCCACAGAATAGGGGATGTTTTAAGGTAGTATATCAGTATTTGTGCAACAAATGTATGATATGTATTCACTTTTAACCAATGCCAAATGTCAACTATGCTGGGAATTACCCAGGGTCATTCATTCAGTCCACAGACTACAGCTGGAGAAGGAAGGAGGAATTAGGAGGATGCCAAATTAGGAGGATGCCAAATGTCAGCTATCTGCCTAGTGCCCAGGGTCAAGCTCAGGGCACGGATGGGAGAAGCCCAGATCCCCTCATGGTAAGAAATGCCTCTCCCACATCCGGAGTTACCCTGCCTTCTCGGAGACCCCAGGCCATCCATGCCCCATACTGCAGCCCTGCTTCTCAATGGACTTTCTGGAAGCAATGCCTCAATGTGCTCCTGTCCTTCACTTGGTCCCACGTCTTCCATCTGCCCGCAGGGTTATTCTCTCCTCTATGCCTAACCTTTCTGGAAGCTGTGTCATTTCCCATCATATGCTATGGATCGCCTGTCCCTAGCCAACTCTGCAGAGTTCCTGGAGCCCAGGCTGGCCTCCTGAGCTTCAGCCAAACACCTATTGTCAGAAGTGTTCACTACACTACAGTGGCAGTCATACCGTCATATAAGTGGGTCAAATCAATATCTGTTCACCTTAAACTCACACAATATTATATGTCAAATAATGCTTATTTAATCTAAAGGGAAAAAAAAGTAGCCAGTTCTGTGAAACTAGAAAGAAGACTTGATGTTTGCCTGAATGCTCAAGTTACAGGTTATGATTGGGGAAAGTATGTTCAAATAACTTCAGGATCTATTTTATGGGCCATTTAAAATACAAAGCATTTGCCCTGGCCGGTTTGGCTAGGTGGATAGAGCGAGAGCCTGTGGACTGAAGGGTCCCGGGTTCGATTCCAGTCAAGGGCACATGCCCAGGTTTCGAGCTGGATCCCCTGTAGGGGGCGTGCAGGAGGCAACCGATCAGTGATTGTCATCATTAATATTTCTATCTCTCTCCCTCTCCGAAATCAGTAAAAATATTTAAAAAATAAGATAAAGTACAAAGCATTTTATTTGTAGACTCCTGAAATCTGAAAACAAGACAACCTAGGTTATACAGTTTCCCAAATAGAGTGTCTGGGACACCATCTAAGCTATTTGCAGTCAAGCCTCCATTCAGCCAACGGTAGCCTGGGGCCACCAATCAGAAGCCACAGACCGCTATCCACCTGCAGGTCCTAAAGCCGGGGTCTCTGTCATGGACTCCCTTGTCAGAAAATAGCAACAGCCAATCCACATGTAGAGCCCTTGCTCTGGCACTACAGCTGACCCTCCACACAGCAAAGGACAGCTGCTAAACCCTGCTCCCCATCTGCCAGGCCCTACCCACATGCACATAAAGTGTCCAATCAACCCCGAGTTGTTTTGTTCCTCAACCTCCCCAAGTCTTCAACTGCCTGTGGCTGCTACCTGGTAGAAAGGAAACACCTCATACCAGTCCTCATTCACCACATTATCAAAGTGTCCTTGA